ATATAAAGACAGTGTTTCAGCTGCAGCTCATCTGATGTTTCAGATGTTTTTATGAAATGTTTGTAAATTTGAATATTTTTATTCGATAATAAAAAAGGACGGACTGGGACAGAACCAGAACCAGTTCTGACGGGTCCAGATGGGGGAACTTTGGTAGAACTTTGTAACGGATCCTGAGACAGTCCAGGTCCAACAGTCCCGGTTCGGTTCTTGAAAGGTCCAGTTTGTTTAATGAAGCGGTTCCGGTGTTGGTTCTGTTCACTCACCTCTGCTCAGAACCTCCTCCTGTACTTCAGGTACTCCACCTCCTGGCTCCGGTTCCGGTCAGCCTGCAGGGAGCTGCTGCCTCCAGCTGAACGGAACCGGACAGTTTGTCTCCGCTGCTGTAGAAGGTTCGGTCCGGTTCGGACAGCAGCAGCCGGAACACCTGCAGCTTGTTGGAGGATGACAGAACCATGACGGTACCGGTCCGAAGTCGGAGTTCTGGTTCGGAACACGGAGAGTCGGTTGACTGAAGAGCAAACAGGTTCTGGTTCTGAAACTTTGGACCGTTCTGCAGGAATTAGACGGAGCTCATTTTTATGCTGGAGGGGGCGGGGCCAGGTGTTCCGTTACCGCCACACTGCCAGCACGTGCACATGGCGTGCACGCGTCTTGATTGGTCAGAGCTTTCTGTCAGCCAATCAGAGAGCAGAGAGCGCTCGTGGACAGCTGATGGTGCGTGAGGGGGCGGGGCTTAAATCTGGCGGGCTTTAAATAACAGCAGAGTCCTGAGATGGAAATAGAAACACAAATAAACCACAAGACACACAACACCGTGAGTACACAACAACACAAAGACAACACAATGAGTACACAACGACACAGTGAGTACACAACAGCCCAATAATCACACAACACAATGAAAACACAATGACTACACAACACAAATGTAACAACACAACAATACACAGGCTTCACAACAACACAGTGAATACACAACAACACAAAGACAACACAATGAGTACACAACAACCCAATAATCACACAAAAACACAATGACAACACAATGACTACACAACAACACAAAGACAACAACACAGTGACTACACAACAGCCCAATAATCACACAACACAATGACAACACACTAAGTACACATCACACTGGCTATACAAAAACACAATGACAACACAACAACACACAGGCTTCACAACAACACAGTGAGTACACAACAACACAAAGACAACACAATGAGTACACAACAACCCAATAATCACACAACACAATGACAACACAACAACACAATGACTACACAACAACACAAAGACAACAACACAATGACTACACAACAACACAAATATAACAACACAATGACAACACAGGCTTCACAACAACACAATGACTACACAACAATAACACACTGAGTACACAACAACACACAGGCTTCACAACAACACAGGGATTACACAACAACACAAAGACAACTACACAATGAGTACACAACAACCCAATAATCACACAACACAATGTCAACACACTAAGTACACATCACAATGGCTATACAACAACACAATGAAAACACAACACCACACAGGCTTCACAACAACACAATGACTACACAACAACACACAGGCTTCACAACAACACAGTGATTACACAACAACACAATAATCACACAACACAATGACAATACACTACACACAGGCTTCACAACAACACAAAGACAACAACACAATTAGTACACAACAACCCAATAATCACACAACACAATGACAACACACTAAGTACACATCACACTGGCTATACAACAACACAATGACAACACAACACAATGACTACACAACACAAAGACAACAACACAACAACACACAGGCTTCACAACAACACAATGACTGCACAACAACTCAAAGACAACAACACAATGACTACACAGCGATAACAACACACTGGGTACACAACAACCCATTAACCACACAACAACACAAGGACAACACACTAAGTACACAACATAACCACAACAACACAATAACCACACAACACAACAACAACAATACACTGAGTACACAACAACACAATAACCACACAACAACACATTGACAACACACTAAGTACACATCACACTGGCCATACAACAACTCACTGACAACAACACAACCACAACACACTGAGTACACAACAACACAAAGACAACAACACAATGACTACACAACAACACAATGACAACACAGTAAGTACACAGCATCACACTGGCTATACAACACCACAATGACAGCAACACACTCAGTACACAACAACACAATGACAACACTAGGACAACACACTAAGTGCACAACATCACACTGGCTATACAACAACACAATGAAAACAAAACAACACAATAACAACACAATGAATACAACAACACATTGATAACACAACAACACAACAATTACAAAACAACAACACAATGGTAACAACACAATAACAATACAATTACAACACAATGATAATACAATAGAATAACACAATGATAACAACACAATACAACACAATGAAAACAACATAGTGATAACACAACACAATAACACAATGATAACAACACAATAACAAAATGATAACACAACAACATAACACAATAACAACAAAATAACCACACAACAACACAATGATAATACAACACAATAACACCATGAATACAACATAATGTTAACACAACTTAATAACACAATGATAACAGAACAACACAATACAATGATAAAAACAAAATAACTACACAATGATAATACAACAACAAAACACAATGATAACACAACAACATAACACAATAACAATGAATACAACATAACACAACACAATAACACAATGATAATACTATAACACATTTACACAATAACAACACAATAACACAATGATAACACAATGATACAACAAAACAATAGCAACACAATGAATACAACATGATAACTCAAAAATAACACAATGATAACACAATAACACAATGAAAACACAATAACAACACAGAGGAGACAGAGGTGCATTGGAAAGTGTTTTATTACAAGAAGTTCAGCAGGTAGAACACAGTTTGGCAGCCAATCAGGAGCCTCCTGCACACATGCCACGCCCCTGCAGCTGGACATAAAACCACGACTAAAACCAGAACCAGACAAATGATGTCACCCTGACAACCCAGCAGCTCATGTTACCATAGCAACAGAACCTGTCAAACAACCTTCAGGACCTGTTCATCATCCAGATCAGTGAGACAGGTGTCGTCCTCAGATCAGTGAGACAGGTGTCGTCCTCAGTCCTCAGATCAGTGAGACAGGTGTCGTCCTCAGTCCTCAGATCAGTGAGACAGGTGTCGTCCTCAGATCAGTGAGACAGGTGTCGTCCTCAGATCAGTGAGACAGGTGTCGTCCTCAGATCAGGGAGACAGGTGACGTCCTCAGATCAGTGAGACAGGTGTCGTCCTCAGATCAGTGAGACAGGTGTCGTCCTCAGATCAGTGAGACAGGTGTCGTCCTCAGATCAGTGAGACAGGTGTCATCCACAGATTAGTGAGACAGGTGTCATCCTCAGATCAGGGAGACAGGTGTCATCCACAGATCAGTGAGACAGGTGTTGTCCTCAGTCCTCAGATCAGTGAGACAGGTGTCG